GTATAAAACTCCTCAACAGGTTTTCCTGCTCCAACTGATCTCAGAGTGATCAGAATCACTTTTTCAAGTGCACAGATTTCTTGGAATATGGATCCACGATTCAAAGTACAGCTCACAGGTTGGAAATTACTTATAGTTATAATTTATATCTATCATGTCCATTGTACATAGATATCTACTGCATTATATCACCTCAATGTATTATTTGCTGCCACATATTTCCTAGGATCATTATAGTTATAATTTATATCTATCATGTCCATTGTACATACATATCTACTGCATTATATCACCTCAATGTATTATTTGCTGCCACATATTTCCTAGGATCATTATATTATATTTTTCTACTCTTATCCCAAAGTGTTTGCTATACAATATCCACTGAACACTGTTACTTAGTTTTCTTTGTATCTCATATCGCTGCTATTCACTTTTTTGAGTCGGTTTTGGTATTTCAAATTTTTATATAGCAGAATACTTAGAGTATCTCACTTTTATTTAGCTTCATATAATAATACCCTGCTGTTTGTTATACAGTTCTGTAATTTCTCTTCTCTAGATTTCCATTCTAGAACATAAATACAAAGGTAGACCGGTTAAGTAGATTAGCAGTGTTGAAGTGTGAACAAAATGCATTTGGTTTGTGTTGGTTATTAAGCTTCATTTTTTTTTTAGTATAAATGTTGATGAATGTCTTCTATTATGTCTTCCAGTGAGTCAGCGGTAAATTCACAGATTTACAACGTTAAAATATGGGGCTCGATTCTCCGATAGTCCATAGTGCAGCTTTGCGCCAAAACAGAACAAAGAACTCTTTTTTTTTTTGTAATTACTGTTGGACTTCTGTCTTTGCTACATTTTTAGTTGTTCTTCTTCTCTTCATGCATGGAACGGAACAGCTTCGATTTTTTAAAATCATAATAACACATAATGTTATAATGTATTCCATCACACATTCAGAATGTTCAATAGCTTTATATAAACGTTTTAAGATTTAAATTTACGTTTATATGCGAAGTTTTTGAAGAAGTTACAGCATGTATTCTTCATTTAATTAAAAACATTCAACGACATTTAAAAGCGCCAAGCGTTAATTACACAAAGAGTGTTTTTTTTATTTAGATGCATTACCCTGTTTGTAGTATAATTTCGCGAAATAGTAATGAAATTAGAAAGAGTGTTTTTTTTATTTAGATGCATTACCCTGTTTGTAGTATAATTTCGCGAAATAGTAATGAAATTAGAAAAAGTCAGATTTCATACTCAGATCACTGATAACAATCTATTTGAACATTTAAAATAGATTAGTATTTCGTTTCTATATATTTATATATGAATAAGTAGAAATTGGAAAAAAAAAATGCAACTGTGATTACTAAGCCTAAGGCGAGATAGCTCTCAAGTTTTATATTATAAACTACACATTTATTTGTATAAATATGCTGATTGGCAAGAAATGTAAGTTTTACTGAAACAAATAAAGTTTCATGAGTTAGATTAGGTAAGTAGCATACCTATTTTAAGCTTCTCTAAGAAACCTCTGTAAATAAATTCAATACCATTTCCCACATACACAGCTGATGGAGCAAACTTAACCACATACCTTTTGAATTTACGAACTAGAAAATGTTGTTTAATAACAACACCATATACTTAGAATAGCAACAAAAGAACAGGTTACTGAAAGAGCCAGTCGTAATATACTAATGGCATGTGACCAAATTTCTTCTCACGTGTTCGATAACGTTTACAATGATTGTTTGCCACTCTTCCAAAATATCAGTTGTTAACACAAACTTAGTTTTCGAAATCGGAAAATATTTTATTTGTCCAAACTTAGATTAAACAATTTTCCAGAAAACTCCTGAACCAATAAGAATAAAAATGAAGGGAGATCCATAAGTGTGTCTCCAAGGGAACCAAATCTCCAGATTGTCGATGATGTGATTTAACGTGAAAGAAAAAGAAATAATTATTTGGCTTAGTAAACAGATTTCGGTGGTATATTCTGAGGGGCATACTGGAAGCCTCACAAATAGTTAGTATATGATTAGCTAAAATATTCTTTGAGAAATTTTAAATTCAATTAACTTTATTTTAAGATTTCAATCACAAATCGAACAACAGACATTATTGACTAGTGAAAAGCCGTTTTTGATGCGCGCTGTTCTTTTGCTGATATTTTTCGTAGAAGCGAAATTTTGATAGAGATACGGCTCGACAAAAATAGATAAATACAACTATTTAAACCATAATTCAGAAAATTACTTAGAGCATTAACTATCTTAATCATATTTCATAGATTGAAAAATAAAAAACAAAATTAATTACTTGTTGTACCTTGTATTAGCCCCCCAGTGGCTCAGCGGTATGTCTGCGGACTTACAACGCTAGAATCCAGGTTTCGATACCCGTGGTGGGCAGAGCACAGATAGCCCATTGTGTAGCTTTGAGCTTAATTACAACCAACAACAACAACCTTGTATTAATAATATTAAGTTAATCGAATATAAAAAGCTATAATCATTGATTAAAATATTAAAATAAACAATTTGGATTAAACTGTATATTGGATTTTTTATGTTCCATTTCAAACACACAAAAAAAAAATCGCCATTTTTTGGCGCCGAAAATTAAACCACATCGAAAGAATATACAAATAACGCGAAATGATTTGATGTATTTTGATTATGGGGCCCTCCCAGTGGCACAGCGGTATGTCTTCGGACTTGCAACGCTAGAATCCGGGTTTCGATACCCGTGGTGGGTAGAGAACAGATAGCCTATTGTGTAGCTTTGTGCTTAATTACAAACAACAATTATTAGAATAATAACATGCTCTTTACATGTTATTATTCTAA